ATTGAGTTGGACAAGTTACCAGTTAGGAAAAAGAAAATGACACAAATAATGACTTAATAGACACTTCACAGAATTATTTAAATATTTCACAGGACTAAGGAAAAGCCCTTGGAAAGTTTATAAAGCCTTTGGACATTATACAGAAATGACCCTCTTTTCAGTTATAGTATAAAATTAAAATATGAAAAAGGATATATATCAGTTTCACTGAAAAGAATATGCATAATGCAACATTTAATTTATTTCTGTTCTTAGAATTTGCGTACAGCTAAGTGAATGGGAAAAAGTTATTTTCACTTTTAGGGTTTTTTAAAAAGACATTCAGCATATTATGTGGACAATAAAATGTTGGTACCTGTTTTTAAGAGCATTCACTTTCAGTTGCTTTCATACTGTACCAGTCATCCTCTGATAATGAAGAACTCAATTTATCCAGACATTAGAGCTGTTATAGCCCTGTGTTGGAATTTGGTGGGCATTTGGAGAGGTTCTGTGATTTAGAAACACATAGATTTCAGTGTGTGTGAAGAAATGTCTCTTAGCTATAAGGGACTCTGGAATTATAAATATTTTCTAATTATTGTTACTAGGCCATACTGAGTTTGGGAGGACTGGGCCATATCTGCAAGGACTTATCAAATATTTTACATTTTCTGCATCTGTATTTTCATATTTTTTGATAAAAATTGTTCTAGGTGCTTTAACTGATCTCTTCCTACGTTCTTAATGTTCTATGATTTATTCTCTTTACTGGTGATTCTCTAATACCAAAAAGTGAGCCAATGTAAGTGAAAGATTTGAATTTTTCATTATGGTAAACTCAATTCAGAATTATTAGCTTTTTGGGGCCTACCACCCCCCCCCCCCCGCCGCTGGTTTTTCAAAACAAGGCCTCCCTATGCAGTTCAGGCTGGCCTGGAACTCAGTGATCCTCCTGCCTCACTCTCTCAAGTACTGGGATTAACACATGTGCTACCATGTCCAGCTAAGCAATGATTTTTAAGTGATTTTATTAACAAAAATTAAAAGACTGATCCCACAGTTACTTCATTTTCTAAATAAAATCCAAGAGTTGGGACCCTAAGCATTTCCAAGATCTTCCTGAGACTTCAATGTAATCATCTCACTCTCTTAAAACCCTTCATGTAGATCACTGTGACCCACAGCAATATATCCCCAGTGAGGTTTTTAATTCATATGTTCATTTTTTTCTGTAGACTGAATAAAATATCTTTGTTGTATGTTTTTTAATTGTTTAAATGTATGAAGATAATTTATGTAAAAACTTTGACTTTCTAGTAGCCTTTTGCATTTTTAAAAATATTTTTGTTTTGTGGTACTGGGGATTGAATCTAGGGCCTATTGAATGCTAGACAAGTACTTCACTTAGCCCTGAAAAAAAATTTTTTTAACTCGAGACCTTGTGCTTGTGAGGCAGGTGGTGGAACCGCTGAGCTAAATCCCCAGCATGCCCTGAAATATTTTTTGATGTATTTTTTCTCAATCATACAATTTCTGTACTTTAAAAAATCCTCATCAGGGAAGTGGAGGTAGGAAGATCATCAAAAGTTTGAGGCCATCCTGGTCTGTAAGGTCAGTTCAAGACCAGCCTGAACTATGTAAGCAAAACCCTGTCTCAAAAACAAAAACAAAATAAAGTAAAAATAGCCTTTCAGTAAAGGTAAATTTATAGGAGAAAAAAATGGGCTTGATTATGTAAGAATTAAAATTTTGATATATTAAGAAAATGTAGCCTACATTAAAAGGTAAAACTATATGTGGAAAATACATGAAACACTATATTTGAAAAACTAATATATATTATCCCTACTATAAGATTTTATAATTCAATAATAAAAACACTAATAGTAAAATCAACAAGGAACGTGAACAGCAGTTCATAAAAGAAATTTAATTTTCTAATGTGAAAGAAGTTCAACCTTAGTAAAAGTAAAACTTTCATTTTAAAACAAGATATATTTTTTTCTTTTGCACTTAGAATTTTTTTTAATCTGTGGCAAGGATTTGGAGAGATTATATATTTATAATATCTTCTATCTTTGCTCCTGCTGGTAGAACAATATATTGGCATGTTCTTTTGGAGGACAGTTTGGCTGTGTATCAAAAGCCTTATGGTTTTAAAAATTTCTTTTTAGCTAGGTTCAGTGGTGTGCTCCTGTAATCCTGGCCACTTGGGAGGCTGAGGTGGAAGGATCACTTGAGCTCACAAAAACAACACAGTCTAAGAAACGTAATGAGACCCTAGCTCAAAGGGAAAAAAATTACTTAGCAGTATGTTGGGGGGGTGCTTAAATAAATAGGGATATGATTGATATTTGGATTTAAGGATGATTTTATATTTTATCAATATTCTTAATGAAAAAATGTAAATAATCCAAACATCTAATAATTGCACATCAGTTTTAAAATAAAATGATTATGATTCATTCATACAGTGAGCACTGTTCAGACATTAATTTATTTTTGTCAGGTTGGGGTTGTAACATGGTGTTCGAGTGTGTGCTTCACATGCACAGGCCCTTGAGTAAGAGCCCAGACTGAAACAAAAAGTTATCTTTAAAGAAGAAAGAAAGAAAATAATGGTTTTATTGATGAGTTTAATGACATTGCAAACTATGTGAGATAATATTAGCTTTGAAATATAGAAATTATACTCTTGATTTTTGGAGCTTGCTTAATCCTGCCTTGCCTGGCTTCCCTGGTTTTATGGCCTCTCTCCAGCTTCATTGCGGAAATGGTCAAAAGAAGTATGACCACATATTAAATGGATAAGAACAGATACTACACTCGATCTTAGCCAAAAGGCCAAGAAGCGATGGCCACGTATTAAATGATGTTATGGAAGTTTGAACCTTTAAACCAAGATGATGCTCTTAGACCCTAAAAAGGGAAGAGAGGGTCCCAGTATAAAAAGGGGTAATGTATTAGGGCCCCTTCCAAAGGGTGGTGAAGACCTTTTCAGGAAGTTCTGACATGGCTCTGTAACATAAACTGTACTCAATCGGGCTGTGGTATTTTACTGTTACCACATAAGGGAGACAAACAAAAATTGTGTAAAAGGTGAAACCCTTTCATGCTCAAAGCTCAACCTCTGGATGTGAATCCACCAAATCAGTGTTGGCATGAATAAAGCTGCTTCCTGGAAAAAAAATATAAAAATTATATTGGGGACTTAGCTCAGTGTTTCCATCGCATGCCTCACAAACACAGGGTGCTGAGTTTGACCCCTGGTACAAGAAAGGAAGGAAAGGAAGGAAGGGAGGGAGGGAGGGAGGGAGGAAAGAGAGAGAGAAAGAGAAATAGAAAGAAAGAAAAAGTATAGAAATAAGCCTAAATATCAGTAGCAGTAGTAATTCTTGGTGATACATTTTTTCAACTTAAAAAATATTTTGGAAATGTATTTCATAATTAGAACATAATTAGAACATGGTTATTGTGAATCACTGTAGAACAAATCCATGGTATATTCCCCACTTGTCTCTGCTTTCTCACATAGCATTCCTTTTCATGCCACTGTACCTCTTTTTACCTCTCTTGACACAGGGTTTTCCTGCTCATTTTTACAGTCATTTTAAATGATACCACCATGAAGTCTTTCCTAACTACCCTCTTCCCATTGCTTATTTCACACAATTACTTTATGTAATTATATATGTATAATATCTTCTCCATTAAGCAGTGAATTCTGCTCATTTCATTTAATAAATATTTGTTGAATGTATATGTACCTAGCGCTGTATGTGTTGGGTTCTGCAGATATACCCATGAATTAATTAGGTTCCCTCTGACATTAAAGAGTTTATAGCCTTGTAAAGTTATTTCTTATACTTTAGTATTAAGTATTTTGATAGAAGTGTAGAGTGCTTTTGTACCTTAGATAATTGTTAGAACTAGTCCAGGCTGGACAGAGAAAGAAGTCTTCCTGGAGAGCGCCATAACTTTAGTATTAAGTAGAAAGCAAGAATTACATCTTTTTCTGCTTAGAACATATTTACATGCCAAGCCAGATCAAGAGGCTGGGGAAAGATGAGCCTGGAATTTTAAAGCCATGACGAGTTTTTGAAAGGTCATGATGGTATTTGTGGATGTTGAAGTAGATTTCTAACAAGAATTATATATGATTTTATCTTAAAAAAATCTTCAGCAAGAGATTGGGAAATTAAATATCATAGCATATGTTAGAGAAACTATCCTGATGTTAAATAGAAATTCAAGTATTAGTGGTAGATTTGTTATCTAAATATTTTTATAAAATCTATTCTCTAAGGACAGAAATGAGTGCAAAATGATGAAAGGCCTGGATGAATTAGTGTTTTAATTAAATCTGCTTTGAAATTATGAATGATCCTAATAAAATGTTGCTAAGTGAAGTTATTTGAGGAATACTTTTAAATCAATTGATTAAAAAGTATGGCACTTTGAATAGCAATCTTGGCATGTAAATATGTTCTAAGTAGAAAGAGATGTAACTTGTAGCAAAGTAAATCTCTCATTGTTTAGAATCCTGTATGCTAACATTTTCCCCTTACCAATCAAGTCTTTAAAATCCCCTTTTCCTAATAAATTCCTCTCATAATTTTCATTTCCTAAACAGACGCTAGAGTTCTTTTCTTCTCCTCTGTTACTGTCTTCCAAAAACGTTTCCAAATAAAAATCAATAATTTAAGGAAGATATATCAAATTCCGATGTAGTTTTCATTAAATCATAGTATCCTGATCCTGTAATTATGTGAATTATACTTACTATTCATTGGGTTCATACAATAAATTTGTAGTCTCTTGTTTTTCTTTTTTCTTGGTTAGGTAGTATAGAGATTATTTGTCAAAGCAATTCTTAAAAAGAGATTGAACAGGGCTGGGGGTTTGGCTCCGTGGTTCCGCTGCCTACCTCACAAGTGCAAAGGCCTGAGTTCGATCCCCGGTACCGAAAAAAAAAAAGAGAGATTGAACAAATCAGTTTTTCTTTTCTGCTTTTGTAGATTTCTTGATAACCGGCTGTTCGCTACCTGCTCTGATGACACTACAATAGCACTATGGGATCTGAGAAAATTGAACACCAAAGTATGCACTTTACATGGTCACACTAGCTGGGTGAAGAACATCGAATATGATACTAATACAAGACTCTTAGTAACATCAGGATTTGATGGAAATGTCATTATTTGGGACACTAACAGGTTTGTGAATAGCAGACTATGCTAGGATTAATAATAAAACCATTTTTAAAAAGGTGAATAAATTCAGTGTTCTGTTCTAGCCTCAAGAAAAATAAGCTGGCTTTAGGAAAGACAATAGGTGATTTCATCTTTTGTTACTTACACTTATTCATATATTGCAACTAAAAATTTGGAGTTGAGGTTGCAGCTCTGTGGTAAAGCACTTGCCTGACATACCTGAGGCCCTGGTTCATCCTCATTAATTAATTAATAAGAGAAAATTATATAGAAAGAAGACTAGTATAGCTAATAATGAAAAGTAGCTTATAAAATTAGTTTCTTGGTATAAGGAAAAATATTGTTGTTATATTCTTTGTGAAACTAAAATGTATCCCACTGTGGGCCTTTAGCTGTAAATCTGTTTATTTCATAATTTTTGTACTTTTAATACTTACAAGAGTAGTTCTTATTTGGATTGTTACTTATCTCAAGGGAATATTTTGGAAATGATCTATGAGGCAATTGTAACTATGGGGGAAGAGAGGAGGGTATCTACTAGCATTTAATTGGCAGACACCATAGTTTCTAAACATTCTGCTGTACACAGGACAGTTTGCACAGTAGACCAATTGTCCCATGTAAAATGTCAATTGTGCCTCAGTTGTCATTTAATTTCCTTACAGAGAAATTGATTATTTGAAGAGTTGAAATTTGAGAAATAATTAAAATATGCCTCTTGCAAACTATGCTAAAATAATTGAAATACTCTTTTTAGGGAATCATATGCAAAAGAGAATATTCTTAAAGATTTCTAGCTACACATATTGTTTGAGTGGAGGATAAAGCTATTATCTTTAGACAAAGATGAATACTATATACCTATTTTAAATAAATTTATTATATATAATACATATATTGTTATACACACACACACACACACACACACATATTGTTATTTTGAGATAAGGTCTCACTACGTAGGTAAAACTGGCCTTGAACTCATATAGACCAGGCTGGCCTCAAACTCAGGGCATCCTTCTGACTCAGTGCTGGGATTAAAGGCATGTGCCACCATGCCCAGCTACCTATTGAAATTTAGAGGCAAATGTGTTTAATTTAGAAAGACAGTTTGAATAGTAATATAAATGATAACTTCCAAATTAATACTCTAATAAAACTTGATAAATCCAGGGGAAGTAGAGAAGAAAGAAAGAATCATTTTATGTTTTTTTAAATTTAAATTGAATTTATTGGTACATTCTGGGTAGATAGCACAGTTACCTTCATTACTGGGGTCTTGTACCTTTACATGCCAGGTCTTGGTTCTCATTTTTCCCCCTTGTCTCCACCCTCCCTTCACCCCCTCCTAGGAAGAATCATTTTAAAAATACAAAAATTTGTTAGTTATGTAACCAGTCCAAGTCATCAATCCAGATATCAATAATTGCTGTATGTGGACTAAATTGCTAGTTAAAAGACAAATAGTGTTAGATTGTATTAAAGAGTAAAACAAAACTATATGTTTTTGTAAAAACACCTAAAACATACACGACAAGTGAAGTTAAAAATAAAAGAGTTGGGCCGGGGATTTAGCTCAGCGGTTCGGTGGCCTGCCTCGCAAGCGCAAGGACCCAAGTTCTGTCCCTGGTACCAAAAAAAATAAAAATAAAAGAGTTAAGGGGAAAGCAGATAAATATACATCAGAGAAAAACGGTTATAGCCACAATAACAGAAGACAAAATAGAGTTTAAGGCAAAAACATTTATTATTGATAAAAAGATAATATATTAAAAGGCTCTTTTCACTAGAATATAATTCTTCTCTTGTAATGCATCTAAAACCAAAAAAAAAAAAAGCCAAATGTGGACAGAATTACAAGAAAAAAAAGTAAGAAATCCCCATCTCAGTTGATAATATTAACACCATTCTCTCATTTACTAATAGATAACAGACAAAAATTAATAAAGCTGTAGAAGATTTAAATAGTATTAATGAGCTTGATGTATTAGACATGTAGAATTCTGCTTCCATCAAATAGTGAATATATCCTCTGAGGTAGACTTAAAACAGGTACAAAGCTTAAGCACATCTTAGACTATAAAATAGGCCACAACTGTAGACAATGAAGAATGAAATCATTTAAAACCCATCTACTAATAAAAGAGCAGCCCCGTCAGTTTTACAAATAATTTCTACCAGTATATTACAAATAACATTAAAATTTTATTAAGCTGATCAGATTCCAGTAAAAGGGAATTCTTACCTGAGATATGAAGCTCATATAGATAGTATTAGAAGACAAAAATGAAAATTCCAGCATTTTAGGAAATTGAAGCAGGAAGATGGCAAGTTTGAGACCAGTCTTGGCAATCTATCAATTTAGAGAGAACTCATCTCAAGACAAAAAAAAAAAAAAAAAAAAAAAAAGAAAGAAAGAAAAGAAAAAAAAAAGGGAACTTCCTCAACCTTATAAAGGACATTTATAGAAAAACCTAGAACTAAAGTCATAATTAATGTTGAAAGACTAACACATTCTTGGGAATAAAGTTCTCGCCAGTTTTATTTAACATTGTACTAGACAGGCAAGAGAGAGAGGAGAGAGAAAGAGACAGAGAGGGAAAAGAAAAAAAAAAGGGAAAACATCCAGATTAGAAAGGAAAAAATCCCATAAGCAGATTTGAACCTCTATATAGAAAATCTTAAGAAATCCACAAAAAAATCCCTGGAAGTTACAAGGAATGAGCAATCAAGAAACAAAACAGTTCCATTCAAGATACCATCAAACATGGGCTGGGGATTTAGCTCAGTGGTTCGGTGGCCTGCCTTGTAAGCGCAAGGACCTGAGTTCAATCCCCAGTACCAAAACAAAACAAAATACCATCGAACCTTTGGACAGTTAGAGGATTTGCCCTGTGTTAGTGAGACCCTAGATTTGATCCCCAGCACAACCACCACCACACAAAGTACGTACAAGATTTGTACACTGAAAACTGTAAAACGTTGCTGAAAAGGAACATAAGTTTTAAGTGAATGGAGAGACATTACATGTTCATGGATTAGGAAGACTGAGTAACAAATATTGGCAAGAATGTTGAGAAAATGTAGCTTTAATTCCTTTAAATTAAATTAAATTTTAATTAAATTAATTAACAGGCTAGGGATTTAGCTCAGTGGTGCCGCCACCTGCCTTGCAAGTGCAACATCCTGAGTTTGATCCCCAGTACCAAAAAAAAAAAAAAGGATATACTGAGAACCTTTGGTACATTTTTTGCGGGGGTGGGTTCCGGGGATTGAACTCAAACATTGCACTTGCAAGGCAGGCAGTGGCATTACTGAGCTAAATCCCTAGCCCCTGTTGGTACATTTTTAATGATGAACCTTTAGAATTTTCTCTGCAGGAAGAAGAATATGGCCACCATTATTGTGCTGTCCTTAGTCCCTAATGTAGTAAAAAAAAGAAAAATATATGTGAAACTTAATGTCATTCACAGATTATATGGTTATATACTGCCAAACTTTTCTATGATGGCCATACCATTTTACATTCCCACCAGCCATGTAGAGTCCAGTTTCTCCAAATTCTTGCCAACACTTGCCAACAGGGGCTGGCAAACTTTCTGTAAAGGACCATGTAGTAAATATTTTAAGCTTTGTGTACTATATGGTCTCTGAGACAGTCATATATAAATAATACATGGATGGATATGGCTGTATTCATATAAACTTTCTTTATAAACATAGGTCAGTGGGCCAAATTTGAACTATGGGTCATAGTTTTCCAACTATGTCCTAGAAATTCTTCAGAAAAAATGTAAGAGTTAGTAAGACTTAACCGAACTCCTAGATATAAGTTATGGAAAACAGTATGGAGCTTCCTTAAAATTTTTGAAATATAACAACCATATAACCCAGTAGTTCCTCTAGTGGGTATACATTCAAATGAAATTAAAACAGTAGCTCATAGGGTACACTTCTGTGTTCATTGCAGCATACATTAGCCAAGATACAGTGTCAGCCTAAGTGTCCATCAACAAATGATTATATTTTTAAAATGTGGTGTATAATCCTAGCACTTGGAAGGCTGAGGCAGGAGAATCTGTGAGTTCAAGGTCTGCCTGGGCTATATATAGTGAGACCCTGTCTTTAAAAAAAAAAAAAAGAAAAAAAAATATACACACACACATATATATATATACATATTGTACATATACACAATGGAAAACTATTCAACCTATTTACATATACACAATGGAAAGCTATTCAACCTTTTAAAAGAAGGAAATGTTATCATTTGGAACAATCTGGATGGATCAGAAGACATGATATTAAATGAAATAAACCAGGCACAGAATGACAAATACTGCTTCTCATGGAATCTAAATAAGTCAAACTAATAGAAGAAGCAGAGACGAGTGAGGATAGGGGTCAGAGGATACAAAATTTTAGACCAGAAGAATAAGTTTAAAGTGATTGACATTGTATAACATGGTGACCACAGTTAATAATAATGCATTGTATACTTGGAAATTTCTAAATAGATTTTAAGTGTTTCTTCACAAATAAGTGTGATCATGCATATACTAATTAGCTCAACAATATATATACATACATATATATTTCTTTTTGTTAACATATGGGCTGGGGTTGTAGCTCAGTGGCAGAGCACATATTTAACTCATTTAACATATGCAAGGCTTTTCAATCCCTATCACCACCAAAAGATCATTTTGTGTACCATAAATATATACAATTCTTTGTTAAAATTTTTAAAAAGGTTATTAGCAATTAGATAAGGTAAAAATTTGTTCCTCCTGATTATTGTTATGATTATATCACAAAAATTTAAATTTTTATAGTACATAATTTCTCATAAACTAGTTGTACATAGAAGATGTGTAACTTGTAAGGGGAAAATTTATATTTCATTTAAATCACTGAAGACCTAAATAGAGTTTACATATGAAAAGGCTCAAAAACTATAATAAGCAAATTTTAAAGCAAAGGGCATAAACTGGAACTCCTTAAAAATGGATTCACCTTTAGCTAGGCCTGGTGGCACATCCCTGTAATTCCAGCACTCAGGAGTCTGAGATAGAGTCATCACCTCGAGTTCAAGGCAAGTGTGGACTGCACAGCAAGACCATGTCTCAAAAAAAGGACTCACCCTACCCTGCATTTAGAATTGCTAGACAGCTTTAGTTCCCCAGTCTTAAATGAACAGACAGCCAAAGTCAGATGTTTAAAACTATTAATACAGAGACACAAATGGAAAGATTTTTGGAATAAACAGAGGTAACATAAAGAGAAGAAAACTTTTTTAAAAGCTGTCCATACTGGAAGCACACACCTGTTATTCCAGCCCTACGAGAGGCTGAAGCAGGATCTCAGGTTCCATCCAGCCTGGGCAACTTGGCAACTTGGCAACTTAGTGAGACCTTGTCTCAAAAAACCTGGGGACGTAGTTCAGTGGGGAGGCCTTGGGTTTAATCCCTAGTACCACCAAAAAAACCCAAAACCCTTAATGCTTGAAGCAAACTTGGAATGCAACAGAGGAGTGAGAGGAAGTATCTAAAGTACTAATATTGGTCTACTTAACATGGGTGATGAGTCACAAATATTCACTTTTCTTTAAGCTCTGTGCATTTTATTTTTCTGTATATATGGTATGGTTCATAATTTTAAAAAAGAAAAAGAAACAAAAATAGACAAGGTGTCAGGCATGAAGTTGCCAACTAAAACTAAAACGAAATTAAGGAACTCATTTAAAAACTTTACAGAGTTGAAGAACAAAGTGGCCTGCAAATGAAAGCTCACACGGAACCTTTAAAATTTAATGAAAAGATTGCAACACCTAGATATATCCTAATGACTTTTAAATTTCAAGGATAAAGAAAAAATTTTGCAAGTTATCTAGACAGAGAAAGCAGGTTACCTATAAAGGAACAAAACTCAGACCTCAGATTTTTCTCTTGCAATTCTAAATGCTAGAAGACAGTGAACAATATCCAGAGTTTTAAAGGAAAATAATTGTGAACCAAGTATTATATACGGTACCCTACAAAGTTAGTATTTCTGTATGAAGGCAACTAGAAGACATTGTCAGATACCAAAAGGTTAAGAAAATATTTTGACTAAGAACCTTCTCTGAAAATTTGCTGATTGATGTATTGCAGCCAACTGAAAAAATTTAAAAGAATAGGGACACAATTATATGAAAGATTTAATAGTAATCATTAATGATAGTAATCATTAAGAAGCATGAAGTCTAAAATTATATAGGATAATAAACCTAAATGTAAAATAGATTTGTAAGCTAGATCTAAAATTTTCAGTTTGTATAGTTTTAAATTATCAAAGTACATGCGAAATATTCAGTGTATTGGGCAAATGACTATTGTTTTATTTTTGCCATGTAATATTATAGGTAAAGATGCATGTTGTTAAGCCAAATGTATGTTAGGTAAAAATTCTTTGTCACTGTGGGCAGGACAGGTACAATAAGAATATTCTAAACGTTAATTAAATTGGAAAAATGGTACAGTGTTATTTCCCTTAAAAAGAAAAACTGGGAAGTTCATAATGTTAAAACTGATAAGGCAAGGAGAAAATTTCCGAAGCACTGGTTGGAGAAGGGTAGATGTATTTGAAATATTGAATTGGGAAAACTAGTAATTACTGTATCAAACAGTAATTCATATAAGTCAATTTGTCATTGAGTTGTGGACAAAAGCAGAATATATACATTCTAAGTTTCTGAAATGAAAAGAAGTGAAAAAGAAAAATGAGGAAAAGAAAAACACCAAGGAAGTGTTAATATTTGCATAAAAGATATTGACAAAGATACAGGTGAATTATACTCATAAACTGATTAAATTCCCAATTAATAAAATCCAAATTGAGTAAAAAAAAATCAAGCTCTGATCTGAAATATTCACATTTCTATAAAACAAAGGTTAAAAGTGTTTAAAGGTATAGAAACTCTTTAGGTCATAGAAATGGGGAGCAACTTTTTTTTTTTTTTTTTTTT